ATTAATGTAACAACGTGTAGCCAATTTGTTATCTGATTCGGACCCAGAGTTTCCCGGCGAAGAGAGGATATCGATGATGGGTTCGCATTAAAGGTTTTTCGACGTGTTCATTTCTGTAAATAGTACCGATCGAGCTATAATAAATAATTGCATTTTACGGAGCAGGCTTGTCTAATGTTGCGAATGATACGATAACGCTGATTGATCGGCTGCAAGAATTCAACAGGTTAACACGTTCGCTTTAAATGGCGCCGTTTCGCGTTATCGATGACTCGAGGATCAACAGACGATGCCGATTGTCGCCTGTAATACATATATCCGATTAAAAATTATACAAGCTTCGGACAATTGAAAATTTGCCGGAATTGCATAATTGAAAATTGTGTCAGCATCGCGCAATTGAAAATTTGTCAGAATTGGTATAACTTATAATTATGCCAGCACTGTACAATTTAAAAGTTATGATTGATTCGTACAACTTGAAACTCTGCCAGCATTGTAAAATTTTAAATAACGCTCGAATTGTACAATTTTAAATTATACCCGAATTCTATAATTCAAAGTAATGCGAGCATCGCACAGTTTAAAATAATGTTAATCTCGTACAATCCGAAATTATCCCAGCCATATACAATTTTCAATTATACCAGCACTGCAGAATTTAATGCGATACCAGCAGTGTACTATTTTAAATTATGCCAACGCTATACAATTTTATGCAGACGTGATACGTACGTTATGCCAACTTAACAAGCAGAATTTACTCGAAATATCCGATATTTTGCAGCAAAGCAGTCCAGAGGCTGCAAATAAGGTTCACGTGAAAACATCCTCACAGTATTATGCATTTTCACGTTATTATGAAAGATCAATTTCAGTTCGCGACACACACACACACACACACAGAAGCAACAACCAGAGCCAAGTTATCGCTAGATCCTCACTAAAAGAACTCGAAATATCGACGTACTATTTTCAGCTCGTTAAAATCATCGTTATAGGAAAAAATACATTTGAATATAGTTGCTACCTCTTGCACCTTATGCAAACAATTTTGCATAAAGAACTGCAGCCCCGTTGTCGTCGTCCAATAGAAGCATCGCAGAATTCTATTCTCGATAATCCCTCGATCTTTTCATAAATACAGGATCATTCATAGAATTTGCCTCGCTATCGTTCGCGTATCGCAGCCAAATTATAGACCGCGATTTTGTAATAAATTGCAGATAAAAAAGATATTAAATCGAGCGTAGTTTTTATTCAAATTACTGAGCAAGCGTGGAATGTACGCGACATATAGCGGTCAACGACGAAATCGGCTCCTTTGTTTCTGAAGCGTCGTTTTCCTTTTAATAGAAGCGCGGATTTTTCGGAACGTAGCGACGTAACGGGCGGGAAGATAAATGCGGACGTGTAAGCCGCAGTTATCTGGATCGGTGCAGTCCGTACGTGGGTGCGGGTAATAGCGTAACAAATTCGCGATAATGTAAGATTTCGCCGACTTCAAGTTTATGAAAGCCGTGCACACAGAAAAAGCTCCGATAAGAGGATCTCTTCGACGGGGTCTTCTTAAAAATTGAATTACGTAAGCCCCGCGTTCCGGGCGCGATTTATTTCGAGCGACCCTATATATTTCGTTAAATTCTATCGGTCGCCACAAAAAGATACCTCGTTCCAATTTTTCTCCCATTGCCGCGGAGATATTTTCGCACGTCCTTTTGTCTCGCATCCGTCGCTTCTGCGACCGTGCACGCTCGGCCATTGGAATTCCAGCGTGGTAAATAGCTTGAAGAAGTTTCGCTCTCGTTTCACTTATAATTAGACGCTCAACCAGCATTAGTATCGTATCTGCTTCTTTCATTAATTAGCGATTGATACTTTCCATCGTTAAATCGCGCGACGATAGGTCATCTTTGGGAATTTATTGCACGGGAACCGAACGATGCACAGCTAAACAACATATTGCAGTTTATTCGAGCATGATTCGGCATTGTCGACGAATTTTTATTGCACGCTATGCTTGACAGTGTTATGTTAACACTAGGACTACCGAGCCCCTAAACGCGACCGTATGTATGTTGTTTCGTAACAATGCCAAGACAATGCATTTATTTTAAAAATTTCTGCTAGAAATATTTTTGTAGCATCTCAAAAATTGTAAAGGAAAACAATCAGACGATCGAATCGTCCCTGAACAAATTGCGAAAGGCGTTTCAGCTCTGCATCACTTACTTCTCTTGCAATGAATTGTCAAAGATGATCTGGTTTTCGTAGAATTTCGGGTAACCACGATTTTCGTTTAATTGTATCAATTAAAAACGTGCTCCGCGAGTAATATTCGAGAAATATTAGTTTCGTCGATCTCGTGCCATTTTCGTTCGGCATGGCATCGGGATGTTAATTCAAGCCGCATTCCTATCTCATGGAGAAAATATCGAAGAATTATGGAAAATGGTACAGCGGAGGGCAAGTATTATCGGAACGCGATATCGGTTGCTTTCATGTTGTTCACCGTCGTTGGTAATATAATAGTGCCTGTTATCATAGCAATCTCTCTGCGGTCGGTACCGATAAAATATGCAAATTCGTCGATAAGCCGAATGCAAACAGTTCGTTAACAACCTTGAACTGGATTAATAAATCCATGAAAGTCGCGGTCGAGTGGATCCTCTTCGTGTCTGTTGTGTGCCCTCGTGTACACTGTATGTATATATATATCTCCTCCCCTCTTGTACTGCCAAGCTGAACAAACATTCAGAGGTGAATAATTAATACATTCCATTAGATCGCGACGGATGGAACCAAAATATTATTACACTCGAAACGTAGTCCTTCGATTTCTTAAATATTATTACAGTAGAAGTGACTAATTATATACAGGCAATCATGCGGTGTAAATTAATCAATTTACTTCGTACATCTTTGCAAGAAAGTAATTTTGTCGCTGCAGTACGCTGACAATTTTTCATATTTGGTACGTGTGGATATTGAACGTTGAACGTCGAAAACGTTGTTTATAATTTTTAACAGAACACGCACAGTATCGTCAAATATATTTAACGGAATGGAAACGATCGATTGTACAAACGCGCACTGTTAATATTTACACAATAGTAACACGTAACAATGTTCAAACAACGATACGATACATCGATTACACATAGCAGTGTACATCGGTTACATGATAACATTATAATTCGATATATCTTAGGTGACAAATTTTAATCGATCAAACATAGATATTAGGATATTATCAAAAAGTTATTAAGTACAATGTTCCGTAAGAATATCGAAACTAACAGTAAGTAATATCGAACATATGTACATACGTGTAACAACCCTGTATTTGCTAAATAAACCACCTGGTTTAAAGCATTAATAAATATTCCCTTCGTATCGAAATGATTGTCCTGTTTGCATAAATTATTTGCATCGAAATATAATAATTGTTCCATTTAAAAAAATAATATTTTATACCTGCTCTGTCATTAATTCATATAGCTGTATCATAATTCATTAACTATGATACAGCTATATGAATACAATAAGTTTAACTTTTATCTTGTACAATAAACATAAAAGTATTGTATCTCCTTGATTCGATGGAAATTTATAAATCGAACGACCATTTACACGATAGGAGTAAATAATAAATAATAGATTTTAATTTTTAGATTTACGTTTTCCATGAAACAAGAAGAAGTCGGCAAAGCTAAGTCGGTAAAGCTCTTTAAAAACTGGAATTAAATATCTGCGCGAAGTGCGAATGTTCATCGATATTGATATTGCACCCCCTGTCGTAATAGTTTCCCTTTCCATGAGATTCCCCGCCGTATTGGGCTTCCCAGAGCGAACGGTGACGCGCATACACGAATGTCAGAATTGCGAAAATATTATCAGCGAGTAATGTAATTACACCGGGTACTTCGAAGTTTGATTAAGTTTCGGAGCACTTGCGCGATAATTCCGCGCGGCATCTACGCGTATGTGTGTATCTTATAACGTTAATACACGCCACGCCGGCATGATCGCGCCGCGAACAGTATATTTTCGCAGCTGCGAACATGATCAGCGGAACGATGCTGGCACACGTAGCGTACACAATTTAATTTCGGTATTATCAGATTCGACAGATTGAAAGAGATACGGAAAAATTGAACAGACAATTTTCTACGACTTTATCGGAGTGTTCTTTCTACGATGGTTATGACGTTAAGCCTCGAAAAACGACCCCAAAAATTCCCACGAAATTTTAAGTAATTCGATCGAATGAAACTGGAAAATTAAAATCGTTCGTAAGAGATGATATTTGAATTCTTTTAAACGTCCTAGAAAAATTCAATTCGTTCGAATGTATCGCGACAAAAGTGAATTTTGATCGACTCAAGCTGAACTGTAAACTATCATAGCACAAAAGTTTTATATCGGATTTACCATGTTCGTTGGATTTTCTAAAAAAAAAAAAAAAATGGAGTACCATGAAGGAAATAGAAGGGCACCGCAGCGAAAGTTCAGCGCATAAATTTCATCGTGTCAATAAAATGCAATGCCTGAATCATGCAGCGGGAGTCACGCAATTGGTGTTAAAAAAAGAAATAGCAGGATGACCATGACTGTGACCTTGCCTAGTCCACGTGCGCAAGATGCGTGCACGGTGCCATTGTTTGTTCCCCTTTTTGAACGACCTGTGCTTAACAATACGCGAAACAGCACTAAAAGCTGGTAAAAGGCGCGACTTGAAGCGAGAAAACAAAAGTTTCGTATAACTTCGTCGACGACAATGAACTGTCACGTGACAGGAATCGTTACAGCGTCATTCCGAGAAGTTAGAAACCAGGTTTTTTTTAACGAACAAAATACATAATTACAGCTGAGAATTCATTTATTAAAATGCGTGCGGAATTTGTGGCGTACGTGGTTCACGATGCGCATATTTCCGATAAATATTTTGTCGGTGTTTTCCCGGACGTATTAAACGCTTTTCTATTTCTTTGTTGCAGATCGTGACAGGAAAACATTAGCCCCGCAGTATTTTCAAGAATGGTTAATATGGACATGCAAATCGAGGTGAGCAAGTAAATACTTATTCATCAATTTGCATATATTTCTGGAATCTGGATTTTAGTGACGCATTAAATCCGTTTAATGTCGGTTGTAATACTAAAACATTTAGATCACAATTTCTCTTTATCTGCGAACATATTTTCTGTGAATTTTTATTGTCATCCATAATAAAACCGCGATAAAAGATTCTTACCCGCGAAGCTCTGGATCTATGCAAATCGCGCACAGCGTTCGAAACAACGTCGCAAAATATTGTAAACGACATTCATTTTTCTGTTGCAGTCGAGATAACCACCGAGGTATTTATTACCGTTTATTTAATTCTGCCGCGGTAAAATTTTCACCGCTGATAATTAGTTTCGCCGCCCGTTGGTGCTTGCCGCAACTAATTTCTCCGTGTATCAGACCCAAATGCCGATAGCTCGCTGATTGTTTAACCAATTATGCGTCGGCATGTTTTGTTTTCGGCGCAAATATTTGCACAATGCTTTCGCGAATCGGATGCATTACCGCTCCGCTTCCGCTGTTTCACGTGCAACGCGTCCGCTATATTTGCGATAATTGCGGAAAAACGAACCGGAAACACGCGATGATACTTTTCTTGCGCCCCGGCCGCTGTATCTAGATCGTTAATGCGGTCCTGGCCAATTACGGGCCCGCGTTAATTTCCCCTGTGCAGTTTTCGGCGTTGTTTCCTTAACGAATTCAACTACGCGTTTTATTCACGCTTCACTTACTGCAAAGATATTTATTTAATCTATCTTTTTTTCAAAAGCTTAATCCCTTCTTCCCGTAATACGATTCTCCTCGCAGATTATTCCATCGTGTCATTATGTTCGAATTATTTGTTAACGATCAGCATGCGGATTTTTATGCAAATTACAACTTCGACGGGAAAGAAAATTAATTTATTGATTATAAAATTTCTTGCAGTAAAAATTCAGCTTATTCTCTCAATGTTTGTTAATTGACGTGTTTTGTTTCTTTTTGTAAAAATATCTGAGTATCATAAATGCATCAAGATACGCATACTAGTCTTCTTAAAAAGTAAATGAAACAATAATCTTCTTGAAAAATGAACGACACGTCATTTTGTTTTTTAAACAAATTAAGAGATAGTCTTCCTTAAAAATAAGCCGAACGACGATTTTCTCTAATAATTAACAGAACGACATAACCGTTTCTGAAAAATTCGGGAACGGTTACAAATCAGTTCCGAATTTCGAACTGCCGAACATCGTTCGGTGTTTAAAGTCTGGAACCCCGGGTGGCGATTTTTATTAATAGCGAAGTGGAAAGCGGAAAGCAAAAATATCTCGCGCGACATTGATGGAAATAGAACCGAATAGGACGATAATAGACGAACCCGGGAATCCATGGGAAAAGGAGAAGACGAACGTTTCGGCGTGCAACAATATCGGCTGCTGTGGTCGTGCGCGCGGTCGCCGGCCGATTAAATCATGTAAGGCAATTAACACAATTCACAGAGACATTGAGTTCGCGATATATATATATATATATATATATATATATATATATATATATATATNTTTCTCCGTGTATCAGACCCAAATGCCGATAGCTCGCTGATTGTTTAACCAATTATGCGTCGGCATGTTTTGTTTTCGGCGCAAATATTTGCACAATGCTTTCGCGAATCGGATGCATTACCGCTCCGCTTCCGCTGTTTCACGTGCAACGCGTCCGCTATATTTGCGATAATTGCGGAAAAACGAACCGGAAACACGCGATGATACTTTTCTTGCGCCCCGGCCGCTGTATCTAGATCGTTAATGCGGTCCTGGCCAATTACGGGCCCGCGTTAATTTCCCCTGTGCAGTTTTCGGCGTTGTTTCCTTAACGAATTCAACTACGCGTTTTATTCACGCTTCACTTACTGCAAAGATATTTATTTAATCTATCTTTTTTTCAAAAGCTTAATCCCTTCTTCCCGTAATACGATTCTCCTCGCAGATTATTCCATCGTGTCATTATGTTCGAATTATTTGTTAACGATCAGCATGCGGATTTTTATGCAAATTACAACTTCGACGGGAAAGAAAATTAATTTATTGATTATAAAATTTCTTGCAGTAAAAATTCAGCTTATTCTCTCAATGTTTGTTAATTGACGTGTTTTGTTTCTTTTTGTAAAAATATCTGAGTATCATAAATGCATCAAGATACGCATACTAGTCTTCTTAAAAAGTAAATGAAACAATAATCTTCTTGAAAAATGAACGACACGTCATTTTGTTTTTTAAACAAATTAAGAGATAGTCTTCCTTAAAAATAAGCCGAACGACGATTTTCTCTAATAATTAACAGAACGACATAACCGTTTCTGAAAAATTCGGGAACGGTTACAAATCAGTTCCGAATTTCGAACTGCCGAACATCGTTCGGTGTTTAAAGTCTGGAACCCCGGGTGGCGATTTTTATTAATAGCGAAGTGGAAAGCGGAAAGCAAAAATATCTCGCGCGACATTGATGGAAATAGAACCGAATAGGACGATAATAGACGAACCCGGGAATCCATGGGAAAAGGAGAAGACGAACGTTTCGGCGTGCAACAATATCGGCTGCTGTGGTCGTGCGCGCGGTCGCCGGCCGATTAAATCATGTAAGGCAATTAACACAATTCACAGAGACATTGAGTTCGCGATATATATATATATATATATATATATATATATATATATATATATATATGTATATTGTAATTCTGGCCACGATTGTATCGGAGCTTTAGCGTCGCAGCTAAGCAGGTCGCAGTAAATCCGTTTTGGGAATCGTAAACGTCGCGATTCAACCGCGGCGCAGCCACTGTTCGGTTCCATAACGTTTATCGGAAAATCAGAAATCTTTGCGCGCTGCACGGACAGGAAAGAAAAATTCGCATGTGCAACACCGGGACGAACGAAACCCGTTTCTTCCGACCAGGTTCGCGGATTACTATAGAAACTTCGCCCAACTTCGCGCGTTTATGTCGAAAGTGGGTACGTCGAACCGTAAAATGTGAAACTGTGTTTCTTTCTCAGCTAAATAAACTTTTACGAATAGAAATAAATGACTATGGAGCTCTCGCAACAAATATGACCAATTTTCGTTTTCCATGTAACACCGAGACGAATAAAAAACAGTCACGTCTACGAAGTTCGCAAATTAGTATAGAAATTTTAACGCATTTTTATCTGTTCGTGATAAAACCGTGCGGATTAAACGTAAATGCTAATTTTGCGCAAAACTCGTCGGACCAGCGGCAATTCCGCGAAACAAAGTTTCGGGTCCCACGAATTAGTCGACCGAAGTTCCCGGGGAATCGTGAAGATAATTTGAGAAACGGCAAGATATTACGTCTAAATTTGCCGACAGGAGTCTCACGTGCGAGGAGAAGGGTCACGGATAAAGGTAATCATAAGTCCGCTTAATTACTATTCAGCGCGTCGTCGCCGCGCAGGAATGCAAAGCGAGCAGTGGCTCAGATTTAAATACCTCGGACAGCGAATTAAACGTTTCCGCAGCGCGGCGGGCGGTTATGTTAACGAGTAAATTCGTCTTCATTCATGATTCTTAGCCGGAGCTTAAGTTTACAATGAATGGAGTACTCTACTATCAATCGCGCGCTGTCGCGCCGCTTATGGTTAGCGTCGCGAAAGCGCATCAAACGTAATTCTCTTATCAGTCTTATGCCACTTACATCACTTAACAATGATCTATTGTTGCTGTCGCTCTGACGTGAATTGATTAAAATATTGTATATCTTCTCTGGACAGTTCTCATCGATATCAGTCGGTTTTAGAATCATTCTGTCCGAAACACCCGCGCGAGATAAAAATCTGTCAACAGAGATGCTTCACTTTGTTATATCATAGTTCATTTGTCACTGCGTCGGACATTATTTGCTTAAATATTCGACATTTTTACCGGACGTTTCTTGATAGAATAAATTAAAGAGCCGATCGCTTGTTAGTCCTTGCGTTTATTCGAGAACCGTGATAGTTACTGTAATTATTAGACTGTGGATTTTATGCATTTAAGACAAAAATATTTTTCATCGATTGATTGATTTGAAAACATGATCGCATTGTTGTCAACTCGATAAAATGACTACGAAAGGGAATAAGTAAAAATACAAAATACAAATTACAAGGAACACTTGCCAAACAATGAATTCCTTCTTGCTTTAACAATCTTAACGGGTCGGAAATCAGATATTGACATATTTCGATGATTATCGAGCAAACAATAATCGATAAAAACAGCACGTATATCGATGCCAATTCGGCTCGAATCTCCGTTTATTCCGTGATTCGAATAAACATTATCAAGAAATCACGAACGATGCGTCGGTGCCTCCATTGGATTAACACGCGGGTTAGTACAATTTCCCCCTGAAACAGAGCATTTAACAAATCATTTCCTCCGGCCGATCATTGGCGCCGTATTGTTCCGCCGGACAAAGGTGGCCACCGGCAGCGAGATGATCCGCGTTCGTCATTGACGCAGCTAATGAGATTCGCCGGACCTCTCCGCGTGTTCCATTAATTACGACATGGGCAAAGTATGGCCGGCCTACCTCCGCGGTCTGAATACTATCAGAAGTATCATTATGGAGGAGTACGTAGCCGCTAACGACGGGATCTCTGACGGCCGGTGATACCGGAATAATTGCGTGTCGATCTAGGGCCCACGAGAATTGGCTAAATCTTTGGTAATTGCGTTTCCATTCGGAACTGTAATTGAGACACGTCCGAACGTTCGATGATCTTACCACGGCATGACAGTGACAAGTAACGAGTGGTTTGAATATTTGGGCGAAATAATAATATTCTGTCTCAATTCTTATAATTAAGGGTTGAATAAAAATTGTTGAAATTGATCGAATAATTGTAATAATAATATAATAATAATTATAATATATAATATAATAATAATTATAATATATAATATAATAAAAATTATAATATATAATATAATAAAAATTATAATATATAATATAA